AAATACCTGAGTCACGTTCCTGGAATTCAGTTGTTTGAGCCACAATAACATCGCGGACTCCATCAAAAACGGCATTCAAATCAGAAGATTGGTCCACTATTTTAATTTGGGAATTAAATGATTTCGTGTCCCTCGAATCTTGAGTCTGAAGAATATAATTCCCAAAAAACTTTCATATTCACTTTGATGCTTTTATGGATCCTGATGGCCGATTCCAGTAATTCAATGACCTTCTGCCAAATCTCATCAAAAAAAGACATGTAGTCAGTGGATACAATCGAACTCTCCGCCCTGTAAGTAGCAATGCGGCAATTGAATGCATTCATTATAATTTGAACACCTTCAGACAATAGAACACATGCATTATTTTTATGACTCATGGTTCTTCGGTGAGAATTCACTTGGATCATAGGAATTGTCACATTACAACAATTGCATGTATACATAAGTATTGCATTGCCTTAAACAATTCTTGCCTGTGTCCCCTAGTCGCCCAGATAGTAAACGTGCTATCAAATGTAGTTGAGGAATAAAGGCTGGGCTAGCTGGACTGGTTGAATACTAATTCTTTGTCCGTTTCACAATATTTCTTCATCAGTGCCGTATGTTCGTGGGGTTAGGTGAGGTAGTGAGTGGTTTTGCAAACCGATTTTTGAAAACTTTTTCTAGAGATCAATTACCCTAACACCAAACTAATACTTTTGCACTCGACGCGCGTTTCGCTAACAAGGTTAGCATCTTCAGGAGAAGCAAATTGATACTGAATATAAAGACAGGGTTAGCTGTTTATATACCTAAAGTTTTTTGGTCCGATGTGGACTTTTTTGTTAAATGATGATTATCATAATTGATTTTTCGGTAATTAACTAGTGGAACCACTACCTGCAAATTAATTTGTCAACAATAGATTGAAAAGCGGACAAATTAATTTGCAGGTAGTGGTTCTACTAGGTAATTACCGAAAAATCAATACAATTGAAATGGTTTGGGCCACAATGGAAGAAAGCTTGCGGAAATGTAATCAGTCACCGACTTTGAATGCTGTAATGCTTGACAATATAAGGCGAGTGGTGAATGAAATAGGTAATAGTTTTTGGGAAAGAAAGTTTTTGGCTTTCTACTACTCCATCTGATACAAAAAAAATGGATGAGAGAATCTTCCAAAGAAAGAAAGGATTAATCAATTTGAAAATAAGTAACTCTATACATGGATGTGTAGATCATGCAAAGAAATAATAGTGATGTGTGGAAGAACTGTGTGGCCCACGTTATAAAAGAAGAGAACAAATATTATGTGCAAAGTTCCATAAATCCGATCGTTATTCAACCCGATGATGATTCCACCTCATCCGAATATAGCGAAGAAGAATTTTGATTTTTATAGCAATTTTGTTAGCCTCTATTATTTTGTAAATATATGTTTGACGAGAATTCGGTGTGATTATTTGTGTTTTCATTGTATTTTAGAGTTCTCGACTCGGAAATCAACTACCTTAAATTTTGAAGTTTTTCATAATTACCCATCGTGGAAAAATTCAGTAGAGATAACTTTTTAATGGGGCGATCAATTGCTATGATTCTAAGAATAAGTAACTAAATTCCTTTTCTCTGCTGATCCAATTGGTATTGGAAATACTATAAAATTAAGTTTCATTTTGTTCGTTCACTCACAAAATAAAACCTAACTTTCAACACTCATGATAAATATCTATTGTACATAATCTACACATCTTTTTAGTGAGTTTTTATTGAAGTATTACTTTTTTCCTTTCTTCGGAAGTTTATCGCATTATTTCATACAATGAAAGCGAAATAGAAAACAGATAAGCTCATTTTCATAAATGTAAATGTTTGTGAAAAATGACCTTACTGCAATTTTGTCCTCTAAGGGCGTTACAACAGTATCCTCTGAAGTGTTACAACAGTGTTCGTCCCACAAGTACATTTTCAAACGAATACAATGAACCGTATTAGTTTGAAAATGTCCTCACAGGACGAAACTGCAGTAACGTTAGTTGCGAATAAAAGTGGTATAAAACATAATAAGTTTTATTTTTCATTTTTCATGAAGATCTCCTACTACGTAGTAACGGCTACATCCATCAGAGTATATGTATGTGAAAGTAAATCTTATTTCATGAAGAAAAATCAATTTAAAAACATAATGGACTCATGCCACAGTTCAATTATCGAAAAGAAGTAAAAAAAAGAAGGCCGCTAACAAATTCGCTAAGATTTGAAGTATATCTACAAGACGTTCCAAAGAATACTTGACTCCCCCTGTAAGTCAGAAACGGACGTGTAATCGAAAATTTCGAAGAAAACACCAATTTTTTTTTCTAGGAGGACCAATTCTGATATGGAAATCATACCCAAATCTCCACCCCCCTGCGGTCAGCAGGCATTCCCGAACAATTCTCTGTCGCAGTTCTTCTAGATTTGTAGAATCCATTTAATTAGTAGTAAACGTTTTGAAATGGACAACACTGTTGGTTTTTTCTGCACTGGTAGTTTTTGTTGAATCTAGTTGTTGCAGAACAAAAAGTAGATAGTTTGCCACTATCACTTTTTCAAAGAATTATTATTCAGTCATCTCTGTTCACTGTGTTCCAACATGGTTCATTCTACTGAAGAAGGAATAGAAATTGTTGCAATCTATTATCGAAATAATAAATGTGCTAAAGCTGCTGTAAGAGTTTGAACAGTTAATGGATAAGTTTCAAACTTCAGGATTTGTTCACAACAGAAAACATGAAGTATCCCGTCTTGTCAGAAATGACGGAGTTGAAGTTGCAGTTTTAAGACAAATGGATAATCGACAATCTATCAGACAAGTAGTTAGAGCGTCTGGTGTATCAGCTACTAGTGTTTTTCGGATTTTGAAAGCCTACAAATTCCATCCTTTCGAAATACGGCTAGTTCAGGAATTAAACGAAGATGACCCTGATCGTCGATTTCAATTTTGTGAGTATCATCCAAATGTATTATACAATACATGTTTTTCAGACGAAAGTTCTTGAAGTTGAATGGTGAAGTAAATAGACATAACTGTCGTTACTAGAGCGATGTGAATCCTCCTTTGATGATAGAAACACATTCACAAACTCCACAAAAATTGAATGTCTGGGCCGGCATTCTTGATAATCATATTGGTGAACCATTCTTCATTGAAGATAATCTCAATGAAGACACATTCTTAAATCTATTAGAAGACTGTGTAGATCCTATAATTACACAAATTTTAGAAAATTATAACAATTTAGTAGAAAACGAACTAACATTCCAGCAGCATGTGATGTTCGGGTGAAACAGTTTTTGGACGAACGTTTTCCAATGCGTTGGATCGAAAGACGGGGTCCAGTGGAGTGGCTAGCTAGATCGCCTGATCCCACACCGATGGATTTATTTCTGTGGGGATACCTGAAATCAAAAGTGTACTCTACTAAGCCTACAAATCTAGAAGACCTGCGACAGAGAATTGTTCGGGAATCTTGAATAATGTACGGAACGCTTTCGAGAGTAGACTGTATCATTGTATGGAACTAGGTGGAGGTCATTTTGAACAATTTATCCGTTGATTTTGTTTCCAATGATATTAACTGTATTTGATTTCCTCATTGAAATGAACGGCAGCGAATTTGTTGTTTTTTCTTCAAAATTTAATTTCTCAATAACAAATGAGACAATTTCGAAAAAAAAAATGTAATAGAGAAACAAAATACCTTTTAAATTATGTATCACTCGACCTCAATGCCAATGAAAAAATAGGGAGGGTAGTTGCTGACCGCAGAGGGGTGAAGTTTCGAGTATGATTTCCATGTCAGAATTAGTTACCTTAAAAATAAAAATCAAAGTGTTCAGACTTATAGGAGGTCAACGTTTCGTTGGAACGCTCTGTATCTTCATTTTAGAACCTCAATCCTCCTCCAGACACTCACTTCATTGAGGCAAGATAAAATTTAAGGATTAGAGTAATTATAGAGCAGAGGCAAAATGCAGCATCGGTGTACTGAAATTATTCTCTAAGAATTAAAAACTAAGAAGCCAATGTATGGCGAAATACGTGTTGCGTTTTTGTGAAACTGTTTGGTGAAAATCTCACAATAAGTGTTTTTTGAATACTTTTCAACCACTTCGTATTCTCCGGAAAGATGAACGAATAAATGAGAAACTAAAAAGGCAGAAATATGAACAAATCAATATCTGAATAGTATAGTTCATCAATTGTACTATCAATTCATGCGAAGAAACTAGTGAAATCATTATTGAAATTATTATAATTATTTTCAAAAAAGTGGTTGGCCCTCACATTCAAAGTCGCTTCTGATAATCTCATTTTGCAGCAAATACCTACACATTGAAAAGTGGCATGAATGTAGAAGAAATGAAAGTTGTATACCAAATAATATGAGGGAAGTCAGTGTTATTTCGAAGGTCATGGAGTGCTCATGATGAAATATTGAATAAGTGGAGCAGTTTTTGGTAAGTATATAAAGTGTTTGAGAGTTATCAATAATCACACATTATCTGAAACTGTTTAGTCAATCACACAATAAAAATGGCATTCAAGGTATGAGATCCATTTCTCACATTCACAATTTCAATCGTCTGCAAGTTGAACTTTTTCAAAAAGAACTAATTATTTTCATATAACTTTAAATATTCCTATATACGAGGTCTGTTGAAAAAATTTTGTGAATGTTCAACTTTCGCGGACTGCGTACATTCGATTAACGATTTTTTAATTTTTTTTGTGTTGATATTCTCGTCTTGAACATATGTTCACAGTTTCATCTGTTTAAAATGTTTAGTTTGTTGGTGAGAGGCATTAAANCTGGAGACAGCAAAAGCCAGCACGAATCCCGTGACGGTGACGTAGTCCAAGGTAGCTACTCCCTCATTGATGCTGATGGCTTCAAACGTACAGTTGATTACACTGCTGACCCAATTCACGGATTCAACGCTGTTGTCAATAGAGAACCCCTTGTCCAGAAAGCTGTTGTTGCCAAAGTTGCTGCTTCAGTTGCCTACGCAGCTCCAGTTGCTAAAATCGCAGCTCCATTTGCCTATGCTCAACCCGCTATCGCTAAAGTAGCATACTCTGCTCCAGTAGCGCAATACTACCATTAGGAGATATCGACCTGACAATGTACATAGCTATTTATCAATAAACTATAGAAAGAATTCAGAGATTTTTTTGTTGAATCGAGTGAATGACAAAGATTTCAGTTATAAAGTAACCATAGTTATAAATATAGAACAGAAATGCATCTGTTTGGTGAAGACACAAACCACTCTCGTGCTCACAATGCTATGCTATCTGAAAAACTTGAAAAAAACGTGACACTTGTGCTTACGAGACACACTTGTGATGTGATTTTTCCAGTCCTGTTACTAGCGAACCATTGAACAATGAAAATATACCATAATGTTTTTTTTCAACTCCGCTGTTTGAAAAAAAGGTATTTCTTTCATGTGATGATTCGATATTTGCAAAGATATTTCTCTAGTTTCTACATATCAGAAGGAGTGACTAACATACTATCTTTGCATCGAAAGCAGATCACTGTTTCTAGATTACTGCTTCTACATTAGCCGAATCTATTTTGTGGAATATCTCAATTCAATATTTCTGGAGTTTTTTCCCAACACCGAACCGCTATTTTGACACCTCGGCACGTGTTTCGATCACCACGTGATCATCTTCAAGAGGAAGATCAAACACTTTCGAAGATAATCTCTTGGTGATCGAAACACGTGTCGAAGTGTTGAAATAACGATATAGTTTTGGGAAAAAACTCCAGTTATATTCATTGCTACATCAAAGGTTTCAACAGAACTCAATTCAACATGGTATTCAAAGTAACGTATTGACTTGAAGTATTCGCAATATCAAATTTCCCGCAAATAGTGAAAGATGAAATGTTCATTCATGAAAAATCATATAGGTAAACAAAAAAGTATTTATAATTCAATCGGAAAATAGTTTAATTCGAGATATAACTGACTGAACAATTACTTCATTCCTTTAGTGATTTTTTGAATACCATATTTACGTAAGACAATGTGATTTTGTCATCAGAAAAATAGTTTTTGATTTTTTAGTTTTTTGCTTTTGCTGCATGTTTGGCAGCTGCTGAAACTAGAATAATCTCAGCTGCACCACTGACCTATACTACTTCAATCGCAAAAGTATCAGCTTCTTTAGCTTATGCCGTCCCTTTGCAAAAATAGCCGCTCCCTTGCCCTATACCGCTCCAGAAGCCAAAGCTGTTATATTTGAAGAATAGACACCCCATCCCCAGTATAACTACGTTTATGATATCCGATGACCGGTGACCGGTGTCATCAAAAGCTAGATCAAAGCACATGACGGTCACGTAGTCCCAGGTAGCTACTCCCTCATTGATGCTAACGCTTTCAAACGTATTGTAATGAATTTAAAGCCGGCCCTGACCGATATCTCAGCCAGCGAATAAACAATGACTCACCGCGAAAGGAATGCACTCGACAAGCCACCGCGAATAGTCAAGGCCAGTGCCGAAACCCCTAGAGAGATCTGGAGCATTCGTTGACGATATAAAAAGGCTCCTCTCCGTCCCGTGCGGCAGTTCAGTGTTAGATCTCATCCCGCAAAGGTTGAATCCAAACAAGTGAAAGTGAAAGTGTGAAGTGAAAGTGAATAGTGACCTACCTATACCAAAAGGAAATACCTCAGAAACCCTTAGTGCGTGACGGATCCCTGATTCCCAGAATCACATCCATCCGAAGAAGGAGCAGAGATAACTCCCCAGGTAAAAGGAAACCACTCAAAACAGGTAAAAGCAAGCCAACCCCTACCTAACCCAGGTAGACGAATCCAGCCACCAACTTCCAGGACGCCAGAAAATCAAATTCAAGGACACCAGGTAGTATCGGCCTGACCATGACCCGAACAAAATCAACCAAAAAAAACCCTCTCTCCTCACCTCAACCTGAACCTAGTACCTCACCATCCTTCTCCTCTGAACCCCCAACAAGATCCCCCACACCGGAAACACAAAACAGACCAACAGAAAAAATTCTGAACATAAGAGACATCCCGGAAACACTCTCAAATCAAAAAACTCTATACAACCTACTAAACACGACAGAAATACTACGAGGACAAATAACAGAACTTAAAGTGAACTTCAACAGGACAGCACTATTAAAAACCACTAACATGGACAAAAACTCAGAAACACTACAAAAAATTATCAGACAAAGAACAGGCGACCCCACAATAAAAGTAATCGACTTACGACCAAACATCCAAACAAAAACCAACACAACAAACACACCACACCTCTCATACGTAATAAAAGGAGTGGACCTGAACATAACCGAGGACGAAATCATCCATTTTCTGGATGAAGAAAAAATTCACTATATAAAACTTTGGAGAATCATCTCAAGAAGGACGGGCAACCCAACTCCATTAATCAGAATAATCACAAATGACAAGGACCATTACTCCAAGAGCTTAACCAAGGGAATAAGCCTATACGGAAGAACGCACGAATGCGAAGCCTCCAACCTGAACCCGGTACCGCCAATTCCTAAATACTGCAGTATATGCAGCACCACCGGGCACCAAGCACAGGAATGCCCGACGCATAAAACAAAATGCCCACACTGCGGAGAAGCGCACACTTCGACAAAGTGTACAAAAATCAACAACCCAATCTGCCCAAATTGCAGTGGAGAACACCCGGCATATTCTCTCAAATGCCCAAAACGAGCCACTCAACCCGAAAACCCAAAAGAAGTAGCTCCAGTAACAATCAAAGAATCCACCACTACAGTACTGACAAAACAAATTGAAACAATAATCAAGCTACAAACAACACTGCTTCTAAACATCCTCCCGGATAGGAGAACCGAAATCCTCACAATTACAAACGAGCTCTGCAAGACCATTCTGGGGCACACAATATTCGCCACAGCACAAGGGAATAAAATCGAATATGTATTCACCGAAATTACACCTGAAATAAATGAACAGTAGACACACGGAGCAAGAAAATGGGCGTTTACTCCTCGGAACCGTAAACGCCCAAGGGCTAACCCGCAAGAGACAACACACCAAACTACTACTACATACGCACAAAATACACATACTAGGCATAACCGACACACTAACAAGGAACCCACCACACTTCACAGGATATCACACAATACACAGACCAAAGGACCAAAACTCTCGCGGGATAGCCATCCTCATCAAACACGGCATACCTCACAAAAAACACACCTTACCCCCACATATCCAATCCCTCGATTGCCTAGCAATCGATATACACATATCCAACAGCATAATAACCATTATCACACTTTATAACCACTACCACCAAACACTTCCTAGAGAAATCATGGAATACACCTCATCCCTTCCTAAATCCCTCCTAATAGGCGACCTCAACGCAAGACACACACAATTCGGAGACAACAACACCAACACTAACGGAAGACTACTCACCAACTACCTACTAGAACACAACCTACACAGAATCCCATGCCCAGACCCGACGTTCCTGAGCCACCAAGGGGCCTCGGTCATCGATCATATCCTATGTTCAGAAAAACTAATGGAGGAGATGGACGACCGAGCCTACACTGGTGACACAATCACATCCGACCACCTCCCCCTTATAGTCAAAACCTTCCTAGATCCCAAAATCCCAATCACTCCCGAATACATAACTTACAAAAACTACAAGTACACCGACTTCAAAAAATTTCAAAGACTCATTAACCAAAACCTACCACAAATCAGCAGACCTACCCTCAACAACAGCAAACTCATCGACACACAAATAGACAAAATACAAACACTCATCCACAACTCAAACAACGAATCCACACCAACAACAACGAGAAGATGCGACCAAACTCCACTACCCCCCTACCTAGTAAACCTAATCCGCAACAAAAGAAAACTATACAGGACCTACATACAAACTAGAGACCCCGCTACTAAAACAGAATGGAACAGACAAAACGCAAGAATACGCCTACTCATCAATCTTTTCACTCAGAAAAGATGGATGGAAGAAACAAGCAAACTAGACTACAAGAACGGCTCAGCATTCTGGAACAAATTCAAAATACTTACGCGACAAAAACAAAAATCACACAGCCACCTGATGATCGAAGACAAGGCCATCTCCAGCCCAACGGAAAAAGCGGAAGCCTTCCAAAAAACACTCAGAACGACTTACACGGTACCTACCAATGAACACTTCGACAACGAACACATGAACAACATACATCAACAAATCACCGCACAACTAGGCAGACACCCAGGACCAATCCCGACTGACCCACATTGCCCCCTCCGATCCCCTATCAGCGAGGACGACATCCTCAAAGCCATCCAGCGCGGAAAAAACACAGCCCCAGGACCAGATGCAATAAACCGCAGAACCCTAAGAAACCTACCAAACACCATCCTACCATACCTTAGTGATATCCTGAACTCCTGCATAACCCTAGCGTACTTCCCCAAGGCCTGGAAACAGGCCAACACCATAATGATCCCCAAACCTCACAAAGACCCTACCAACCCCGAATCCTACCGACCAATCAGCCTCCTAAATTGCCTAGGAAAACTACTCGAAAGACTACTGACCGACAGACTCACCGACTACCTACAAGAAAACAACATCATACCACCATACCAACACGGCTTCAGGGCCGAACACTCAACACAAAACGCTCTCATAGAACTACAATACCCACACGACTAACAAACCGACTACAAGCCACAGAAAGAAAAATACTCCGAAACATACATAACCTACACTACCGATTCCCCTCCAACGAACTATATCAAATAACAAAACTAACCCCAATAAACATTAGATTACAGGAACTCCGAAGAAAATACACAGAAAGGACCATAAACAGCAACAACACAGCAGCCAAGGACACCCTGACCACACCCTGGAGACCCCGCGGGGGCTCGAGGAGGATACCAAGGAAGAAACTCCCATTTCCCCCAGCCAGACTACTGGGAACCCTGGAGGATATACCGGAGAGATTCCTGGACATCCTGGACGAGTTCCCGCTGGCAATCAGATGAAAGAACCAACCAAACACTCCATTAAAACACAAGCCGACTCCAACACAGAACCAGCACAA